CTAAAACATGTATAAATTGTAAATATTTATAATAATATAGTAACTAATATAACTAGAATTCTAAGTAATTAATTTTCTGAATAATTAATATATAGTTAAAATTGTTAATGTGTATATTTTAGAAAGAAATTAAAATTTATGTATATTCAAAACTTCTAAATATTATTTAGAAACAAAATTATGTCATATGATAAATTTAATATTATAAAAATTATTATTTTCATGATTAAAAAGCAGAAATTGAAATTATATAAAAATATAGAATCTCATAAAGAACTTCTTATATAAAACTGTGAATCAATTCTTACATTAATTTTGCAATTATACAAATATTCAAAAAATTTTATTGAATCAATATTCATGTTATAAAAATTCTTAAACTTATTATGTTGTTGTCTTTTAAATTATTAATTAAATTATATTATATTAAATAATAATTTATAATTTATAATTTAAAATAAATTATATAAAACAAGATAAACATTTACTTAATTTTACTAACATTTAGAATATAAAGGAATCCTTATCACGTGCCTTAATATAAAATTTTATTATTCAAATGTCTTACATGTTATAAATGTATAAATGACTTAAATTTCATAAATAGTTTTCTTTTATTATATTTTAATATTTATTTTGATAATATATTTTTATGTATAATATAAAGTCGTTTCTTCGTATCAATTTATAATATTTATACCATTTCAATCTTTGTATCATTTTTAATAAATTATTAAATTCAATTGACTTCGAACTAAATAAAAATACTAATACATGCAATTACTCATAATTAAATACTTATTCATTTTAAGTTTCTCTATTCGACATTTTTTTTCATATTTCATTATTTTGTTATTTTTTATTATTGTATATTTTAATGTGTTATACTGAAATAAGTATAAAATCTGAAATTTTCTAATAATCAATATTTTATTGTTAATATACAGTATTTGTCCATAACAATTGATATTTAATTTAATAATAAGTCCAATAATTTTCCATACTTTTTGTAAATAAATAAAATAAAGAAAACATTAAGTAAATTTAAACGAATGAAAATAATTATTTGCATTCTTTATTTTATTACAAAGTCATTTATTGAGACATATTGTAATAATTAAAAGGATATGATTTTTAATATTGTAAATATTATAAATTTTGCAAAATTTCACTAATAAACAACTTTATATGTTAAATATAAATAGACTTATTAATTGAAATTTATAACGAATCATTAAATTATAAAATTTTCATACAACATAATGCAAACTCTAATTTCAAATAATAATTATAAAACAGCTTTACAAAAAAAATAGTGCAGTTTGGACGAATGATCGAATCTTTCCTGAATAAATTGGTACCTGACATTTAATATGAGATCCGAGCTGGGTTATCAGGTGCTGGAGCAATATAGGCAGTTATCAGTGAGAAAAATCAGCTTTTGAAACAACCTGCAAGGTGAAATTCGTCCTCCCTACAACATTCGTGCAGGCTACGTACGCATACTATGCGCGCATAGTGCATTCCTATTCCTCAATACGTGACTGTCGTATAAAGTTACAGATACTATAGACCACATTCCTTACATTATTCTACATGTGATATTCAATAGCTCTATAACGGATCTATGCACTTAAGTTTTGTATGTGTGTGCACACATATGAATAAAAATTACAACTATGCCTAGAGAAAAAGATAGAGCCTTGTAAATCTTTAAGTAATTACAAGCCTTGGTCCTCTAATAGCAAAACATTATCGTAGACACGTATTGCTTACCACACGAGCTCAAGTACCTGCACCAAATATAATCACCTATACACTAACGTTTTATATTATATATACAATATTAATTTTTCATAATTTTCATTAACTTTCTTTTTTTCCATTTTAGTTATATGATTGAAATATTATTGTACAACTTCTTAATAAAAATAAGTATGAAGCTTAAATGGAAAAATTAAAAATCCGTTTACGAATATTGTCTTACATTTCTTTTAATTTAAATATATTATTTTTTTATAAAACAAAATAGAATGGCAATTTTCGTAACTCACAGCATTTAGAATAAATTAAGCTTACCTTTGTTTCTGCTATTAAAATAAATTTAAGACAGAAACAGCATATTATAGTTAATATCCATTATTTCAATTTCATAGTTTTATGCTTTATAGTATAAATAATTAAGAATACCTTTTCCGTTCAATAAATTCTGTTAAAATTCCTCGAATTATGCAAATATAAATTGAATCTAAAAGTAAACCATAAAATTAATAAAAATGTTAATAAACAATTAATTAGATTTAATTAGCTATTTAATTAGAATTTATATTAATACTTGAAAATATTATTAAATATATTATACAATTATGTTTATAAATATTTGTTTATCTATTATTGATTTTTAATAAAAAATTACTCTAATGCTTGTCTTATTTCAATAACATAAAATCTTAAATAAGATCTAGAAAAACTTACAGAAATATTTATACAATTTTCTCAAATATAATTGTAGCAAATTAAATATATTGTAAAATAGGTGAAATATATCAAATTAATTTTTGTAAAAATTGTATAATCCTCTTATTTAAAAATGAAAAATTTATGATTAATAAACTTTTTTAAATATAAATTTTTAACATTTGTTACCTGTATATAAACAGCTATTATAAAATAGATTAAACATATTGCAATTTGTGTAAACAATAGATCACTATTTTACTTTGATTATTATAAAATTGTTTAAATTTTGTATATTGTTTCTCACAAAATTTTTAATTAAATTCATTATACGAAATTAAATCTATGAGTGAAGATTAAAATCAATTTAGGTTGAGAAATGAAAAATTAATTTATCATTTTTAAATTAATTTATAAAGACACAATTTATTATGTTCAACAATTGTTAAAATATTTTGTATTAACTTTTCAACAAATTTAAAAATCTTTATAATTTGAACTCTTGGTTAATATATACATTATATTGGTAGGTGAATCCATATGACGTGAGAACCATTTTAAAATCTTTCTTTTAAAATAATTAGTACTTAAACTGTGTGATTTAGAATTTATTTTATTTTGATATTCGTAAAAAAAAATAAATATCATTGACTAATATATTAATTATAAGCGTTTGAATGCATTGACTTCTTCTACAAATTTAAAACTAGTAATGCAAATTTCCGTATTTAATATTTGCTCTTCTGACATGTGCTTATAATACTGGCTATTAACAGTATACTGATATCGAGAGATACTTATAATTTTTATATAACACTATATAGATTTCTAATATATATTTTTTCTTAAATTATTTTTCAATATCTTAGAAACAAATATTATTCAAGTCAAGATAAAATTATTAAGAATATTATACAGTCGGACATTAAACTCAGATAATATAAGGATTTTATAAAAAAAAAAAAAAAACAGATTCTATCATGAATAATCAGTGTCCTATGAAGTAGAGTTGATTCTGAGCTCTAAATACATACATGAAAAAACTAAAGTTATGTAAAAACTACATATGATAAGTGTTAAATTGATATATCTTATACTGAAACTATTACTACAAGTAAAAATTGTAAAACTGTATTCTCTCATAATCATAAGTTAGAAATATTAAATATTTAAAACATTAATTGCCATTTTACACCTGCAATGCAATTATTATACTTTATTGTGTATGATATAAACTTTATTTTATCACTCACTATAAATTATTTCTTAACATTATAATACAAACAATTTTGAGAGATACAGATCATAATACATTGAATATAAATTTAAATAAAATGCAAATCCAAAATAGAGATCTTTCACATTGTGTTCAGATAATTTCTGTTGTACACAATAAATAATAGAAAATATTAACTGCTTAGCTATCTTAGAAACTGTTCAAATACATAAGTGATTCAAAAAAAATATATATATATAATGCAATGATACTAATATCATTCCATATTAAGTGTTAATAGCAACTAATAAAGTTACTTAATCTAAGTTGATGTACTATTAAACGAGTATAAAACTCAGTATTCTTCTCTAAAATATTTTTAAAAAATATTTATAATATGTACATTATATTTTCTTATTATCAGTAAGAATATTTTTAAGAACATTTTTAAAAATCACTCCAAATATAATAGATTTTTAAAATATCCTACAATACAACAGGTATTGTATCACATGAAATTAATTTATGTATATAAATACATGGAAATAAATGGTTTACACATATATGGTATGTGCTAATTATAAAATTTACTTCATTACATTATTAAAATAAATTTAATTATTAAATGGAAACTTCTCTTATCCTACATATTTATATAAAAATATCAAAGCCATTAAAAAAGCAAATTTAATTTTGCTTATGAGACATTAAACTGATGCACGTATGTTTATATATATAAATTATTAAAAGTCAATCGTATTCTCACAAATTAAAATAATACATTTATAATATTTCAAATTATTTCCTTATCCCTTACTCTTATAAAAAGTACATAAATTTTTCAAATATAATCAGTTATTATCCCAAGTACAAGAAAACTTATATATCTTTAAAAATATATTTTAAATTATACATAAACAAATATTTAATTTCAAATTTTTCAATTGAACTTATTCAACTTCAATACTATTGTTTAATTCTATTGAATGAAATAATTCAATAATAAATTATATTTTTAAGTAATCATATAAGTATTTTTCGAAATATTTCAATATATTATTATTTATATATACATATAGAAATATAAAATAATAATTTATTTCAAAAAATGATATTTTCTATCCTATAATTATTTTAGAACAATATTGAAACAAGTGCTTGTATTAATATACATAAAAAATAAGCATATATACATTTAAAAAATTAACATAATATTGAATATAATATACTATAAAATATAAAATTGTTCAATCAAGATTGTTACCATCGAAGGTATATTTCTTCTTTAAATAAATTTAAATGTTTGTTAGTTTTCACAGTAATAACAATGGTTAATATTATATTGAATTTCAATTTATTAATCTTTTTGTTCATTCATAATGCCTGCAGTAATAAGTAAGTAAATAATTATAAATAATTTAACGTATAAACTATAAATGTATTTCAATAAAATTATTTAAAAAAAACAACTACGTATACCTATCTGAAAGATAGACTTTAATTATAATAATATAATGTCCAGCAATAGAATGTATTTATTAAATTATATATATTAGAATATATATAACATAAATTCTTATCTTTAATATTAAATACTTTGTTATAACACATTCGAAATATAAATCTTTTTTTTTAAAATTATTAATAATTATTTTATGATAACTAAACAACAAATTTCAAAAATTATAAAAAATGAAAAAATTTCTTTTTATTTTAGAATAGTGCTTTTAAATATTCTATGGAAGTCTTCTAATAAAGATAATAGCATAAAGATTTTTCATTAATATTCAAATATATAATGGTCACGTGTATTTTTTCTCACGAAAGGCTGCAAAATATTAATCCAAATAATAGTAATATTATTTGTATTCCATATGGTATAAACTTTATCGTTTATTAATAACTTAGTTGATTAATTTTTAATAAACCAGAAAATTAAGCATGCAATATATTTTTTATTTTATGATAATAATATAATATTTGTAAAATATACTTGTAATTAATAATGATACAGAAATTTTATTTCGGAAACTTGAATTTTTCTAAGAATTTCTTTTACTTTATACCTTGCTTTATATTCATGGCGATAAGTGTACTATACTTTGCAATATATAAAAATCAGTATAGTTTTTAAAAATTGATATTTAATTTTTTAAAAACAAACTTCATTTTCATTTACAAATATACAAATTATATGAATATACTCACATAATCCTATTTTCAATAAAAATTTTATTAAATTTCATTATGTATGCGATATTTCACAATTTACATTTTAGTTTATATAGAAAGTTATATTTAGTTTATAAACCAATTTATGACTATGATAATTTGATTTTATAAAATTAGAATTATATTTGTAATAATTATTATAAATTTTCTATTTTATTATGTTATATTATATTAATAATAGAAATAAATAAAAAAAAAACTATTTTAATAGACAGACATATAAAAAACAGATGAATAAAAATTATCGATTCGATTTAAAATAAGTTTGAAGAAAAATTACTACTTTTATAAAATGGAAAATTACCATGGTATTACCTTAATAAACTTAATAATATTTGATATTTACATTATATTTTTTTATAATAGTTACTCAGTATTAACATTATCGCAAAGTTGGCCACAAACTAGTTGTTGGGATATAAATAAAAAGTGGCAAGAGGTAAATGCTGAGTGTACCACATGTAAACTACCACAAAGATCTAATAATTGGACAGTTCATGGACTTTGGCCAACTAATCGCCACGGGATACATCCAGAATTTTGCGAAGGTGGTAATTCATGGGGACAAAATGGAATTGATACCGAATTACACAATCTTTTATCGAATAAGTGGCCAGGATTTAGATTTGGATTCGAATACATCAACTTTTGGAAATATCAATATAAAAAACATGGAACTTGTATTTCCGATATTGAAAACACGAACACATTGAAAAAATATTTCTTAATAGCTGTAAAATTATTGGATCAATACAATATAGGAAAAATATTTGAAAATGCAGGAATCCTTCCAGACTCCACTTTTACGTTTAGAAAAATGTCTAAAGTCATTCAAAAAATTGTAGGAAAGAATACTTATGTGAAATGTTACCATGACCCAGTAAGTACTTTATAATTAATACTATACTTTATAAGTATAATAAATAATTAATTACCTATTTATTTAAAAAACATATTTTATTCGTAGATATCAAATCGACAGTATATACGACAAATTCACATCTGCTTTGAAAAATCCTTTGAACTAACTCATTGTTCTTACGAAACATTTTATAGAATGAAAACTAATTGCAAAGTTAAGGAAAAAATTTTTTATCCGAGACGTTTAAATCGTTGCTAAAAATAAAACCTTCTTTAAATTAGTTTAGTAATTAGGAAACTAATATTTAAGCCATTAAAGATAAAATCTATCATTAATCAGCATAACTATTTTATAAAAGAAATAATTGTTTTTTAGCTCAAACATATTATTTTTATTTATTAACCTAATGATTATTTTTCGTTTTTTATTAGCTATACTATTGATTGAATTTTATTTCGAAGAATATTATTTCGATTACATTTTTGGTTTTTATCGTATTTTATGAAATTTTCTATTCGAACATTTATATCTCCAAGATTTTTATTTATATGGTTATGTATACTATAGAAAAACTTTGCTTGTTAAAAATGTTTTTTATGTATATCATTGGTTTATCTGTATGCACACTTTTTTATATAAAAATGAACAAAATAATTATTACAATATACAAAGATTATAAATTAAAAAACTTTAAAAAATTATTATATATAAATTTTAAAAGATAAATAAAAACGATCTTAATTATAAAATATTTTTACTAATTCCTACTATTAAAAATATTCTTTATAATATTTTATTCACAAAATATAATAAAAATTATTGAAGATTATTAATTTTTCGTAATTATCTATATTAATTTTATAAATACAACAGAATTCGTTACAAAATAAAAATTATAATATACTTTCATGTAAAGTAATGTGTATAAGTGTACAAAATATACATTCATTTATAGGATAATCCATATAAAATATAAAGTGAGTGGATGTACCACAACCGTTGACAATCCTCAAGGAATTAAAACATAATTATAATTTTTTAATTGTCTAAATCAGTTTTGATTTAAACTGTACAATTATAAATCTCATAAAAAAGTTATAAATTTATCTCATTTGTATTATTATGTAATATGAATGTTAAACTTTTTATTTATCCTTTATCCGAAAATTTTTCTGTAGTTTCATTGAATTATTACGATTAAAGTAAATGAACTATTTAAAAAAAATTTGAAAAACAAAAGAATTAGAAATCAAACAAAATTTTACCTAGATAAAAATAAAGTTAAAATTATAATTTTATTAAAATAAATTAAAATATTGTTTTATATTTAATAAAATTTTATATTTAATAAAAATTTATTAAAATGAAATAAAATATAAAAAAAATAAAAATAAAAAAAAATAAAAATTAAAAAAAATTAAAATTAAAATTAAAATATAAATAATCTACAAAATTAGAAGAAAAGAACAACTTTGTGTTATAATAAAACAACTATTTACAATTATTAATTAAACTACTAAGTAAATTTTGAAAAAATATAGAAATAATTTCCAATTTTTACAACTATAGAATATCAAGCTTTTTTATAAAAGCAGCTACTTTTATAATAAAAATGATTAGTACTAATGTAAATTCTATTTTATAATAAAATTATGAAATTATATAATAAATAAAATAAATTTCAAATATTTGCTATTATAAAAATTCACGAAATTTACTATGCTCTTCATTTGTAATATCTGTTATTAATTACATAAACTAAAACCATATTAAAATGAAAATAATAAAAATTGATAAAATTTGATAAACATTTTACTAAATTTTACGTCATAGTTGAAAAATTGAACGATATATCCCAACTATATATAATATAATTTATTAATTATTTTATTGATTTATTATATAAGATAGTGTTGAAAATTACAATTCATTATGTAATTAAATATTGATTTCAATCAATAATGTGAATTAATAATGATTGTAATCAATGCTTTAATAAATAATTTATTACCGTTTAAAAGTTATTTATAACGATCTGAAATTAACCAAAATTTAAATGTAAACATTAATAATATTCATATTTGTTTGATTGCTTATTATTTAAAATGTCAAATTTTAAATAGAAATCTTACATTGAATAAATGAAAATTTAACATCTAACCTACTTTCAATAATATATTTCAAAATATATGTTATCAAATATTTAATTTCCATTCGATATATAATTAATTTTAGAATAATTATCGTAGGTATTTTATTTTAATATATTTTATTAATATACAATACGCATTTGCAAACATAACATCTATGTACATACAAATTTCTCCCTCCCACAATATATTCAAATACAAACACGTGTATATAAACTAACGAATGCAAATAAATAATGCTTGAACTTTTAAAAATTTACCTTACTTTTTTTGTAAATAATATTTATTCAATTGCTTTACATTAATATTTAATAATAGTAAAGAATTTTTAATATAGAAAAATATAATTGATTAAGTATCTACTAACTACCAAATAAAATATAAAAAATCTACATTTCCAAATGATTTGTTTTATCTTCTAATAATAACAGTAATGGCTAATTTAATAATTACTAGATAAAATACTAAAATTGACATTAATTATTAATGTCATTATAACAAAATATATTAAATTATTATACATATAATTTGAAATACAGTACAGAAATTTAATAATACTATAAATAATATAACATACTAAAATACTGAATAACATAAGATACTCCAGCTATATTTAAAAATAAGTGCGTATATGACTAAGAACAATATTACACAAAAAAATATTCATGGGGAAATTTATGGATCCATTTTCAATTCTTTAATAAAAAGTATCTATATTATATCTTAATATTGCTTGCTTTCTTTTATCTGTCTATATATGCGCACGTAAATCAATTCATAAGATATATGTACGTATGATAATATGTGTATAATTTAATGATAATACTCAAAAATACTTTCGACTAATCTATTATAAATAATATATATATATAATATATATATATAATAAATTTGTAACGCTAATTGTTCATATGATCGCAAGCATGTCTTGTAGTCTTGTTTCACTACTGCAAAAAATTCAGTTCTTAAGATTCTTTATATCATGTCAAAAAATTGTGGCCATACTCATTTCAGAACTATTACTATTATTCACAATTTAATTTTATCAGCTAAATGAAGCATATTTAAATACAGCACATATTAAAATATTGATCAGAAAAAGTGGCAAGACGAACTAATATTTTTTCAGTTCAGAATTATATTTTGTCTTCAAATATTTTGTGTATATAAAATTAAAATATCATGATTATATACGAATAAATAGATTGTTATTGTTTTGTACTAGTAGAACAAAACTGGTACTACAATTGAAATTACAACTTTTATATATTTTTATAAAATTTTGAAAATTTTTTATAAAATTTATTATTATAAAAAACAACTTTTATAAAAGGATTTTGATAAAAAAATTTAACAAATTTAAATATTTCTAATAACATAATATTTTGATTAATAATTAAAAAAAATCAATTTTCACATAAGATAACATAAGATAAAAAATATGAAAAATATGTATTCAAATTATACTCATTTTTGTACAAAAAATTAATTTATTACAAACATTATTTAAAAACTAAACTAATTTGGAATTGTAATGTTCATAGAATATTCGAAACAAACAAACAATTGAACAGTTTATGATCTATAGCGAACTAATAGATACAGAATACATCCTTACTTTCTAATGGTGATAATTCAGTCGGAGATTAATTTAATTTAGTATTGAGAAAAATATTGGAGAATGATTCTGATTTTAGAATTATAGAATTAATCTCGAAGTTAATTAAATTTGACAATATTAGAATACTCAATACGAACTTTATACATTTTTACATCAATATATATTATAATATCAATACTTTTAAGAAATATTTGATGATATCTGTTTGATCATTAGATTGCTATAAAATAAGAAAATTTTTAATGGTATAGAGATTCTTAGATAATCTAAATATAATCTTAAAAAATGTTTAATATTATTAAAAAATCATTATTATATTTCTAATTATAAACGTAGTCTAAACAAATATATTAAGCTATTAAATGTTTATTTACATAAAACTTGATTAAATTTTATTAAAAATTTCATCATTAGTAACAATATTACAAAAAATTATATATACACATAATTATATATATTTAAAAAAATATATTTATTTACAATGAATTATTCTTTATATTGTATATATACATTTATTTATAATAATCTGCCACTATTATAATTTTATAAGTAAAATTAATTTAATAAAATAAATTCGTATGTTTAGAAGAATATAATAATTATCTGCATTTTGGAAAATATTTTAATTTTTTCCAGAAAAATATTATCTTCAGGTACAAAAAATAAATTATAAATTATATATTAAATAGAGATACATAATAAGCACAAAAATAACAGGAATAAAAAGAGTGCTTTGAATGTTCAGTATGAATATGTAATTAAGGTTGTGTGTTCATTATATTAATTAAATAATAAAATTAAATTTTTCATTTAGATTGTAGGGAACTTGTCATAATTGTTCTTCAAGAAATTTCTATAATTTAAAATCTTTAATATATGATATTAAAAGAAATAACACTCTATAAAATATAAAAAAAATGTGGTTATAATTATGCCTATTTATATAATAATAAATTAACACTTAAAGCTGTTAGGTCGAAGCGCATCAATATAAACTTATTTTACTCTTTTTTTTTAGTTTTATTTTTATTTTTAACGTACTCATGTCTATCTAAGTAATCATTTTAATTATATAGAACACTATCTATCTATACAAGTATAAATTTTGCTGTTAATATACAAATGCACGCTTGTGCAATTGCAAATGCACATACGTGCATGTATATTCCAAATTAAATTTTAGATTAATAGAAATGTATAAACTCGGAGAATTTGTTAATTAATCTGTATATTTATATCTTATCTATATAATATATCTATAAAAAATATGTGTATATCTTATCTGTATAATATCACTTTTTTATTAACATCAATTCAGTTATACTATAAAATAATAATCATAGTCACACAAGTCCTTTATGCGCGTATTATATAATATGTAATTCGATTATAAAATATATTTACATGCAATATTTCAAGTTATGCAGTATAAATTATGAGTTGGAATATTACAATTTTGATGCAGTATTGCTGTTTTCAAATTCAAATACAATATAATAATATTGGAATTGAAATACTTGGAATATAGACATTATAGCATATAGAATATAGAATATAGAAT